AATATTCTTTCAAACCTAGTACATATAGATCATAATTACATTACGTTACATTATGGGCATTTGGTAGATGCTCTTATCCAGAGCAACTTCGAGGTAACAGTTTTATCCGTTCATACTGTATGGCTGGATATTTACTTTAGGCAATTGTGGATTAAGTACCTTGCCTAAGGATACAACAGCAGTGCACCCGCAGGGAATCGAACCAGCAGCCTTTCGGTTACAAGCCCTGCTCCTTACCACTATGCTACACTGCCACCCCACTGCTGCCTCGAAAAGTATCGGTGAATATTTTCGGCTTTATAAGTGAAATCATTAAGGAGCGGAAAACGGTATTGTTTTAAACCTAGCACCTACAGATCTTAATTCTTAAATTGCAAGCAAAGTTTCTGCAAGTGAAACTCTCACATCATGAGTGGGCTGCTGCAGAATTGGGACTCGTGGCTGGCAAACCACACGAGTTTGGAAATCAGGGGGAGTCATGCCACCACCTCAGACTGGGCAATGATTTCGGCGCCATACGATTCCTCCCGCTGGTCACTGATGCTGCCCTCACTTGCTAAGCGCCCACGAAAACTTTGGAGCACAAAACCACGCGCTGCCTCTGCCAAAAGCTATGGAAAGCTATATCTGCTACTTCTATCTCTGCATGCATATCTTGCCCCTCCAGCACGGCAGCCAGCAATGTTCCACTTTGATAGGTGAAGGGGGATGCCATCAAACACATTAACTAGCTTTACATTTCTTCATTTATTGTTAATCAGCATGCAGGTCTGTTGCACAGGGTATATTCAGAGTAAGCTGTTCCAGAGTTTGGTTACATCATGGATAAGTACTGGCATGCTCAGTAGTTATGTCAGGTTTTTATTGGAAATGCTGGTAGAAGTATCTGTAATTTGTTTTTCTGGCCTTGCAGCTATTATTAAAAGTTCATTGGCATCATTGTTGCTACAAAATTATAGGGCTAATGCCTCTGAAGCTTTTATGCTTACCATCATGATGGATTCTCATGTCAGTGCTATACTCTCAGTGAACAGCAGGTGGTGGTGTGGGAGTAATGTGGTGTTTGAAATTGTATTGTTTTGCCATCAGTATTTATGGAATAATTTGTGGCTTGAGCGTTAAACTACTGATTTACAAAATTAACACAAACATTAACACGTTCTTCATTCGACACCCAAAGAACTGATCGGGGCCTGGCTAACCTGTCGCTCTCTCCTGACAGGGCCAACAAAAATATCACTTTGACGCTGTCGTGGAACGTGGTGCCAAACGCTGGAATCCTGCCCCTGGTCACAGGCGTTGGACACAAATCCCTGCCCTTCCCGGATATGTACGAGACTACACAGAGCTACTGAACTGTCTGATCTTGTTTGAAAACCATGTGATTTCTTTCGTGACTTTTAATAAAGGTTTACACAACAGAGCCCCAGGGTCGAAGTGTGTTTGCATGCAAATATAATTACGTCAGCATTTCGCCTCATTGATGGAAGCTGGAACAGGCCAGGTTGCCTTGGTGTTCCTGGGGTTGTCAACAGGTTAGTTTTAATGATATGTTATGCTATCTAATCGTGGTGATGGTGTTTGATTTCGTTCTGAGGTAAGATTTACCTGTGACACATCTGTAGCTGCAGCTCATTTGAAGTGTTCTGTGGTGTCTTGACATCTGTCATCACTCTGGGTCAAAGGTCTTCAGCAGGACACAGCTGCAGATGGTAATTCTTACCACAACATTCAGAAGGGGAATCTGCTCTCAAGAGTGCATGCAAATTCAAAAAATATTGACCGCAGATGTGTTCGAAGAGGCCCATGGCATTCAATTCAGATTCACAAAATTCACAATCTGGGCAGGTGTGGGAAGGATAAACACCTGAATTTAAGCAGTTCAAGCACAAGCACATTCTGCATTCCAAGCTAGTCTGTGGGTTAAACAGCCATTTCAAATTGGGTAAATATTTAGCTCAGTTTGTAGGCAACGGAAAGAGCATCACTCAATCAAAAATAAACCATGGTTTCTTGTAGGTCTGTGTGCTGGGATAAGTCTGTTCCAATCACACCTGTCAGCACACGGGAATGCCATTTTCCCATAGAGTGGCAGTCACTCCAGCGGTGTGTTGTGATGGTCTATATCATTTCCTATGGTCTCCTGTAGGTCTTTGTCATTAAACCATGGAAACCATTATGTAAGCATGATATCTGTAACCATGGATCTGTGCCATTATGATCACTTGTTGTCAGATGGGGGATAAAATTTCTCCTACCCAGAAATTTAGAAGTCAGAATTTTTACCTGTTCAAGTGATGATGCCACCTTGACTATACCCCCTTGTCAGTTACTGCAGTGTAAATGATATTGTGGGACTTACATTTACATTTATTCATTTGGCAGACTTCACCTGACCATGTTCAAGGTTCTTTAAAGAGAGCAAAAAAGGGCCTGTTAAATTATATTCCCAATGACTTTTATTTTTTATATTTTTAAACAACCACAGCTTCTATTTCTTTGCTTTGTACTTGATTATTTATTTTCTATCTTGCTTTAATTGGCAAATAAATTGCAGTAGAATGAAGGCACTTTATCAGCTTCAATTGTTTTTTTTTTTTTTTTCATTCTAGTCTATTCAGTAAAGCATATGCTAAGTAATCTGAATCACACGGAGATGATTTGGCAGCCTGGATGGTAGTACAGTATATGGTGAGGGAAGAGCGTGACAAAATTTGTATTGACTGTGTTTCACCAGGGGGTGGCAGCAGAGTTCTACTGCTCTCCTGCAACAATGACCTTCCTATCTGTCCATGGCTAAACTGAATGTCAAGAAAGTTCATAATTTTGTGGGAAATGGAAATCATGTCACCATAATCACGCTTTCTAACATGATTAAGATGACATGTGGTCGTGTGTTCTGCTTGTGAGCATATTTCTGAAGTCTTTTGTGGTCAGTCGAATATGAACAACAGATGATTTACGAAATAGAATAATTGAGGATTTGGGTCTAAGGTCCACACTTTCCCATTTCTATATGTCATAGTTAAGTGTTGCAAATTCAAAACGTATTGTTCTGACCTCTAAATAACAGCAGCAGTCCGGCAGTTTCCAGTTTCTCAAGATACATTGCCAAGAAACAATAATTTAGGTTGACTCTGTGGGCACTTAAAACAGTTTTGATTCAACAGATACAAATAGTTTCACTGTTGTTGCACATTCATGTTTATAAATGAGGGAAAGAGTTGGTGCTGGAAGCTATCGATGGCAGTATGTTTACCATGATCTGGTTCTTTTCCCTGAGCCTATATGTGCAATGGTTTTCTCTTAAAATGTCCTTCAACTGTGCATTCTAGAGAACCGAAGTGATAAGAATCCAAAGTATATGAAATCACTCTTTGCTTGATGACTCGCATGGGTGTGCTGCATCTTTACACCACCTGTGGATCTCATTCATGTACAAAAGGGTGTTTTCAGATGTGGATGACCCCAGTGGTTCTAAGGCTGTGTGGGTTAGGGCATGCTTATTCAGGTCTAGGTATGGATTTTAGATTTGCAAGGTTATGCCATATATGCATAAATACATACTGGATACATTTGCCTATTGTGTCCAATGTATCTCAATAGATTTTCACCTTTATAAATATCTTAAACTATTGTTTAGAATTTGCCTGACCAAGGTAATTTTCTACTTTTATTGCAACTGGTAAACGTGGTATTTTTGGGTTCTTGGCTAATTTGTCATTTAATTTTGTCTTAGTTTCAAAAGATATAAAATCATAAGCAACACAATGCAATGGAACTGCGCTCTTATGAGAGGTTTTTTGTGTCAGTGTGGCATGAGATTCTTTTCTTCTTTTCTCTTTACCAGGTTCAGAAGGCTCTGCTAAATCTGAAGCTCAAATTACACTACAGCATTTAATGAATTATTTTTTAGATGGCTCTTTTAAACAACCTTTGCCATGTGGTTTGAGAAACTCCAGTTGCCTTTATGACTTCTCTGCCTGTGATGGTGGTGGTGGGGGGGTGGCTATATACATCACCTGGAGGAAACGCACCCAAAACCCCTCAGTTCAATACATCAAACCCTGACTGGCCTGGAAAATGTTAGAAGTATGCACCAAATGAAACGCATTGAATTGAACATATGAATGTTATTCATAAGTGGGGCAAGGGGGAGGGGGGGGGGAGAAAAAACATTAAAAATGACAACATATTAATTCCTCTGGCTTTTGAGAGAAAAATACAACTCTATTGTATTCCATACAATGCAGACAGAAAAACCCCAAGGCTGCGGGCATTACCACTGTAGTCCAGGAGAGGTGTAATTACAGCAAGTCAAACATTTGCATTCAAAAGACTGATTTAATCTCAGAAAATAACTCTGACTGCAGTTTCTGCAATCACAAGCTCCTATGAGCTGTTCTTCGAACATCTGCGGTATGCAGGGGGTACAAAACAAGGGGCGAAAGCAAAATTCAGTTGTGTAAGCTTGCTGTTTACAAAGGGGCCGAAAAGAATGTTCCAGACAAATCCATGCCCGGTGTTTAATTTAGGAAAAGCTTACCAGAGTATTCCCTAAACTTTGAGCTGCTGGTGTAATTAGTTTTCATGGAAAAAAAAGTCTTGAGCAATAAAATGTCTTCCTAATGATAAAAAATGGCCTCTTTTGATTTCACAAACGGTGTGGTGTAAACGTCTGACAACCGTCTCATTCTTTCGGCTGTGTTCCCGTAGAAACCCGCCCGTAATTGGAGCGTGGGGCTTTGTCTGAGTGCGGAGTCACTGTGCGGTCGGCCTCGTTGTGACACTCCGCAGACGCTCCCCTGTGAGGGCTAGCAGAGGCAGGGGCCCGGGAGCCACACGGCTCCTGTTTGAGCTCCAGGGGCTGCAGAGGCAGTTAGCGGCTACCGTGCTTCCGTAGCAGGTCTCCTCTGTGTGCGGGTCCCTGTCGGAGGAATGGAGGGACACGTTCCACCTGCCCTCCCGGCTACAGAATGGGCCAGTGGTTGGCCACTGGGGCAGCAGTGTACTATAGTGGTTAAGGAGCAGGACTCATATCCAAAAGGTCGCTGGTTCAATTCCTGCTTGGGGCACTGCTGCTGTATTCTTGGGCAAGGTACTTAACCCACAATTGCCTCAGTACACTATCCAGCTGTATAAATGGAAACATAGTTTTTAAAAAAAATTTTTTTTTTTTTTACAAAGTCACTCTGGATAACTGCATCTGATAAATGCCAATAATGTAATGTAATGCCTACAAAGATGCACTCCAGAGTCCATGACACAGTGAACAAGCCCATGAGAATATGGGCCAGGGCTGTGAGACTCAGAAGTGGAAGGTACTCTGGCTTTATCTGAGTACCAACAGCCAGTCAGTCCCCTGAGTGAACACTGTTTGATACTTTGTGTGGGGAATGGGTTTTTGGGTGCACTAAGGGTATTAGCGACTCTCTTGTTTTCAATAGCTTGAATGTTTTCAGATTGAGAATAGCGTTTCTTTTTTTTTCTCACTATTTGGATGATCCCCCCCTAGACAGCAATGTGAGTGTGATTGAAACGGCACAGGGCGCACCCACCACAGCTGGGAACCAAACCCAGGATTCCCACACGACACCACATCATACCATACCACACCAGAGCCGTTACCACAGTGCTCCCCAGCCTGACAGGAATGAATCTGACAATATAAACACACACATGCAGTACAAGAGCAGTGAACAGGCAAAAGATGACAATTCAGAGCTCATAAAGCACGACATGACTTATTCTTCAAAAGATATATGACATTTTTGGTGTAAAGCCGTCACTGAAACAATCTGTTCTAAGATGCAACCTCCGACCTAATGGTGATTCCACGAAACAGCACGGGATGTTCCTTGCCGTTTGTTAATGACGTTTGCCTCGTGCCAAATGATGCCTCTATTCAGCGCTGAGATATCTGATGTGGAGTGAAGTGTTTTTCGCCAGAACAGAAATCTCGAATTTGTGACTGAAAGCGGGGTGAAACAACAGATGTTGGTGTTACGTGGATATGAACTCATCCCTAAATATGGGAAGTATCCCTCAGACTGCGACCGTGAGGGCTTTGGGGTAGGAAGTCCCCCAGGATATATCCCTGTTTCCGAGCAGCATGGCACATCCATGCAGCTGTCATTGAAATTACGCATTCCACATACTTTCGTTTGAAACAACCTTCCTGTATCCCCTGTCGGCACCCTGACTATGTTGAAAGCAGTTTAAAACAAAATTTCATTTCATTCAAATAAACAACTTACCTAAATCTGTGATTCTTTCCAGTGTTTTCAAGGGGATGAAATGCACCGGGGTGTCAAAGAATCATTGCCCCAGTCAGACAACTACTAAACAGTACATTTCCCTTATTATCAAAACATAAGAATGCTGAGGTTTAAAGATTACTATTATACAATGATTCCACACTCATACACGTAAACAGAACATATGGAGAAGCCCTGGCTTACTTGCTTATCTTGACTTGATTAAAAAAAAAAAGCACCTTTCACATTGCGTGGCGTTCAGACGTGGCTGGCGGACAGATGTTTACAATTACGTGTCATCTGGTGGAATCCGTGTCACAATGCGCAGGGGACATTCAGGTCAAAGGTGGCTCCACTCACTGCCAGTATCAAACCTTTCAAGTTCAACGGTGCTAATTCCTTGTGTAAGGCGAACTCCATGCGCACTTTCCCAATGCGATTATACAAGTATTAAAAAAAAAGGGAATAATTTCACGGTTATGTGAAAGAATTCAAATGGCTGGGGCTTTTCGGGGCATTTGGAGGACTTCAAAGTGATACAGGTGCTGTTGTACTTGGGGGTGGGGGGTGTGTGGGGGATGCCATTTGGTCAGTGCCGAGCATTACATTCTCAGATCATTTACAATTAATTGATTGCGTGGGGAGCTTTTGTGCCTGCTGCCAGTGGAATGTGATAATATGGCAAGCACATGACTTCGTGGGACTGGTGGATTTGTCCTTGGTAGTTCAGGCAGTTTTAGCCTTGGAATGATTGGGGTCAAATGCTGGGACGCGCGCACACACATGCACACACACACTGCTGTTGCACCCTTTTGCCCGGTCACCTCACCTCAGTGGCTCTGATAGAAATGCTCTTGTTTAAATGAGCTAATGAATGTGTTACATTAAGAACTACTGGGTATGTGCATTTCCCTTGATAAAGAAAATAACGAGACACATCACATCTGTGGAAGCCGTTCGAAGCTGAAATGTGGACAGCTCAAAGGGTTAGGGCTGCTCCTTTTTCTATGGCAGGCCAATGCTTGTTTGTACAAGTCTGCCCCCTGCCCAGTATATCACAGTGCAATTACCCACAATTCATATCTCTAAATTTTGAGCACCAAGCAGAGAGCTACTGGGGACCTTTTTCCAATGATAGCCATTCTGGGTTCCTTTGATGATTTTGTATGACTCAGCTAGATTGAACCCACAACGCTCTGGGTTCAAAGCAGCGACTCTGTGGGCTGTTCGGAATGATCCTTTCATATGCTACACCATGAAAATATATCCCAAACAATTACACAAAATACGTGTGCAATTCATATTTTATTTCCACCTCTTTCATTGTAGTAACCACCATTAGCCAGAACTGAGCACAGAAGTTCTTAATGATCTTGTAAAACAGTACTGTTGACAATAAAGATTAACATTATGTGTCCGCTCTGAAATGAGCTCTGTAACTGACACACTTGCTCGTCCATCCATTCGGCCCAGACAGCATCTTTGTAAAGCTTGCCTTTTGAAGATGAGGCTTTTAAAAACATGTGATTGGTGGGCCAAACGCATACCCCCACCCTCTGATTACCCCTGATGATGTTACACCGATGTCCTCATTGCTGCTGCAGGTTACACAACAATGATTAATGCTGCAACCTAGAGGCTTGGCTACAGCTCTCACCCCTTCCTGAAAACTAGACTCTTATCATATCTTTATGATAACTGATGATGATGGTAATTGCTGGTGTCAATAATCATATAAAATATATTGTAATATAATAGAAAACATCTGTTTTAACTTTCGGTACAGCTCTTTAAAACACCGTCAATTTAAACTTTTGTTCCCTCTCCAGCTTTTACTTGAACTCCCTAATAGCCAACACTGAATAGGGAGAAAAGAGCAATTGCTACGCGTTTAAAATAACCTTAAAATAGCCTTCCTGTCCTGCTAAATCATTCATACGGACCTCCAAAAATGTTTTTTTTCTTAGCTTATCCTTTTTTGGGGAATTGCCATAGATGGTACATTGATATGGAGCCCACTACGTTGCCAAGGGGCCATTTGTTTGGTTTACATTATATAAACCAAGTAAAGTGAGCAGACTTCCTGAGTAACCTTGGAGTACAACTGCGGCAGCTCAATTTGTTCCACTCTTTTATCTGCCTTTAGGCCGGAAAACGCATATATATTATTAGCGATAAGCAGAAATGAAGGGCACTTTGGGGACAAATGCAGGGTATTTCTTCGAGCATTCTGGAATGGTGTTATGGCATAGGAATCTACAGTGACCCACCCACCCAGCTGATTGCAGTAGGTGGCAAGCCATGAACAAATAAACACAATTTATGAGGGAAAAATCAGGCTTTGAGGATGGCAAACACTGGTACATTATTTAAAGTAATTCTTTTGGGTTTAACCCCATGGGGAACAGGAGAACTTGTGATGTTTGTGGGACTCCACTATCGCCAGGCATGATGTGATCTCACTCAAACCGTCTCAATGCCACCCTTTGTGTTGCCCACGCCTGGACAGAGGTTACATCAACTGAGGCATCTCAAGAATTTATTTTATTCAAATAGTTTCCTTTTCACGCGAGTCCCATCAAGGAAGGAATACAGGAAAGCGTGTCCTTCCCATTGATATTGAATGGGGCATGCATACTCGTCATAGCAACCTCGTGGGATGGTGCAATTCAACCTTCAACAGCATGACGTTACAAATAGCTGACATTTTTAGGAAGTGTATGAAATAACATTTGCTCCCTTTGCTGTTGTTTGGTCATTCATTCCGTAAATAGAGAGATATCCAGTCCAGCTGCAAGCTGCTTTCTGCTTTCTGTTGCATACAATAGACAACATCACAGAGACATTGGAAATGTAAATGTTGACAATATGAAGGGCCCACAATTTCAAAGACTGCTGAAATTTATTCCAGTAATTCTTTTCAATATATGATATTGAAGTGTCCTCCAAATTTATTCTTGCCCCTCATAACCCCATAAACTAACAAGATGAGTGCATGTGACCGTCTTGACGTCACAACATGCACTCCGTCCGACTGGTCGTATTATTTAATACATAAACCGGCACTGTGACATTTATTCATGAAAACAATAGCTTTGTTCAATAAGCTGATGGATGTGATTCACAACCTGACAAAACCACATCTTAAAGTTGGATGTTGAATGCTTTATCCTGTTGTACCATAGATAGTAGGCTAGACAACTAAGACAACTTGCATTGTCTTGATCCATTAACTGACAGGAAAAAATGGTTAACCCCTGAGCTGACTTCTAAAACAACAGGCTACGTGTCTAATGGTTTGACACAGAAGCCTTGCAAACAGTACTGCATCTGTTTCACAGTTGCAGAGTGTATTGTTGTGTTTTTTTTTTTTTTTTAATAATTCATTTTCTCAGTTTTGTCCTTCTGGAATTTTGTCTTCCAGTGATTGCAGCCTATGCTCTGACGGGTTGAAAGCTGATCCGTAAAGGATCGGTGCATCCAACAAAAGGCTTCCTGTGTGTTTAATTCTGTAATTGCACCACCAAAGGTGCCATAAATGAACTGAAATGAACAAAGACAGGGAACGCAGGATGTTTTCACGTGGTATTTCTGCACATCCTGCACTGCTATCTGCTTAAATCATTAAATTAAGTCCGCAAAGGCACCAGGCGTTAAGAGCAGCACATTGTCCTGACCATGTTCAGGCCTGATGTGTTTGCGATTACTGTGCAGTTGTGCGCACAAAAAAAAAAAAGCTTTTGTCGTAGTTGTGGACTGAAGAGAGACCACACCCTGTCCCTCAAACACAGTGCCACACCTAATGACAATCTCAGGTG